GGGTGTGTTCGGGTGCATGCCCTGTTTTCGTGAGGGCACTATGGGTGGGGTTGTCGTTGCTGGCAGTCACGTGGGGTGTTGGGGGGTTGGGGTCGATGGAAGACAAAGAGGCCACTTTGCGGGGTCTATTTCTCTTCAGCGGATTCGACAGTGGACGGTCAGGGTCTGATGCACAACAGTCATGGTTGACGTGTCGCAACAGCCCATCGCCTGTCAATGTTTGCTGAAGGAAATGGGGAGACGGTGCTCAAGCGTGTCATCGTCCCCCAAACACCCCAGATCAGGGTTATAAAGATCACCTCGCTAAGATCGTCCACATTACTGGCCGTACATCCCCCTCTCATCTGCCGTCTCGTGCACATCGTTGTCTCCACGCAATAACATCCACCACAATCTGTCGCCTCTCGCCGTCCATGTTGGCACCGCGCAACATTGTCGCTTCGCAGTCCGTCATCCCTCTGCGCACATGCGTGCCATTACCAAGAACTGTATCTTCTACCATCAGCGCAAGAGGAACTTATCATCGTGCTGTCACCCTTCTACCGTCCGCGTCTTCTATGGCGCCGTGCAAGTCTCTACGAGCCTCTTCTACAGCTTTGCGTCTTCTTCTGCGTCGCGCGAATCGCAACGACCTCACTATGCATCTAGATCCATTGCCCACAAGCATGTCTTCTACCATCAGCGCGACAAGGTTTGCTCATGGTGTTGTCGCCCTTCTACCGTTTGTGTCCTCTACGGCGAGAACTCTGCAGTCGCCCGACACGTCTTCTACGACAGCCATCTACCGTGCGACGTTGAAGACAACCGTCTACGGTCCGCGTGATCTACAGCTCCACCTCCGATCTTCGCGCATCTCACTTGCCAGCCGTCTGCCGTCTGCGTTATCCACGGCGACAACGTTGAACTCCGCACATTCTCGAAGGCATCCGTCACCTACGCAAGACACGTCACACGAGCGGGACTACCCATTGCGCAGATCACGCCGTTGTCGCTGTCCTGCATCATTGTGGTCGTCTTCACCATGTCGTCACGCGGCGGTAATCGTGGCAAGAAGAGGGACAACTGTGAAGGGGACACACCTGTGGCCGTCAAGAAAGGACGACATGTGGTGAGGAACAAGAAGGCTCTTGCAGAGGGCCCTTCGAGGGGGAGTGCCGCTAGGGATGAAGAATGGGTTAGGGATCTCGATGCCGCCGACAACGACGAAGACTTCATGACCGACTCCGAAGTTGGAGTCGTCACAGAAGCGGCAGTCCGTGCACAAGGGGCGCTGCGGATTGATAACACGCGACCATGTGCACCGCCTCCCCAACCCCGCGTTGGGGAGGGAGTTGGCAAGCCTGATGTCATCATCGACGTGGACACTTCTCAAGCGGTGAGGGGTGTCCAAGCTAAGGCAGCTCCAAAGACGACACGTGTTGGGGTGACCGTTACAAGGACACGTGTGATTGGGCTGCCTGACGCGCAAGATTGTGCGCAGGTGCAATCACCCCCAGCCACACCACGTGCCCACACAGTTCCGGAGGCGGGAGGGGCCGCGAGGCGTCCATGGTGCAAAGCCGCAAGACGTGGTGAAACGAGAGGGCGGTGCAGTGGTGGGATCTTCTACAGCGGCAGCTGTCGAAGGGACCAAGGATAGCATTGGGGATGGCAATGGCGACGAGCTATTGGTGATCAGGCAGCATTGGGGGAATGCACGAGATGGGATCGTGGCTGCGGCGAAGCTATGGGTCGGTGACATCAGGTTCTGGAACGAGACGAAAGGCAATGGGCTTTTCAAGTTCATCAAGGAGGCACGTCTGAATTTGCTGGCCCTCGCCAGGGGAGTCCCCACTCCCGACATCCGTCGTAGCATAGCCCTCCCTCACGCAAGCGTACCGCAACACAAAATCAACGATAAGTCGCAGCTGAAGGCAGCGAAAGACAGGGCCATCAAAGTGCAGAGCATCGCGTTGCGCGTCATCTATGAGTGGATGGTCGCTCACGAGGATACCACTCCACGTACAGGTATGCGTTGAACCACGTGGCGACACACATCGCCCGCGGCATGTGGCTTGGAGAGGACTAACACAGTTGTCAGCTCCGCTGTCTGCCACATCACATTGGAGATGGACATGAAGCTCCCCCTTTGGTCCGTAGGCGCTCACATCGAGGACAGGCACGAGGACGACGAGTTGGCATGCTACCAAGAGGCGACCATGCAACACCTGATGGGCGCCTTCACTAGCGTCGTCAGTCTGGCCGAGGGGATCGACGGTTCACGCATCTCCCACGACAGGCTAAGGAACATCGCGGACGCTATGAGGGTTCTACTCATGGTGTCAATGTTGCTGATGACCATGAGCGGGGATGATCTGCGTTCCCATTTCGATGCATCCTTGTTTGTCTAGCTCACCACGAAGCCGACATTGGCGGCGGCCATGCATCGGTCGTTTGATGCTCCTCACCATATCATTGTGACAACCACTGTTGTAACAGAGAGGATGGGGAAAGTCGCCATGACGTTGGCGGACCCACCTGTGTACATCCCAGACTTGGTGGACTGCGAGTCTGCGAGATAACTTTCGGCCATGACACCACTCTTTCGTCGCCCATGGCTGCAAAACGGTTGGACTGGTTGGGGACTGGCCCCCCGGAGGGCAATGACGACAAAGCAGGCAGCGGGGACAAGGATGGGGCGGGGTAGAGAAGCACGGTTGGCTTCGCGGAGAGGATGTGGGACATCTCATCATCGGCTGCGTCGAGGTCGGCCACACAATGGGGAAGAACGCAGTTGGCGGTTGCTGGGCGTTGGTCGGTTGCCGGCGCAGTGCTTGTGCGGGTCGTGGGTCTGGCAGGGGGTGTCGATGTCCCGGTGTCGTGCACCCCTCTACTGTCTACACCGACATCGTGGAAATCGGATTGGGTTCTTCTTTTAGAGAGGTCCCCTTCAGGCCTCGAGCGTCATAGGGAGCCTCTGCGACAAACTCGACCGCTCCTAGTTTCAGAAGCCCTCCTTAATGGACGGGGCCACGCGGTGAGTCGGGGCCCGAACCCCCTTTTTTCGGGCCGTTGGTCTCGTGGGCGTTTCAAAACTCACAGCAAAGGGCGAGGTCACACAATCCTTCGCAACAACCCGCCGAACCCATCAGCAGCCTGCGACAAAGACTGGCCATACGCCCCTTGCGCAGAAAACCACCACGCCTCAAAGAACTTCGAGAACACTACTTTTGTAACTATCGAGTCGGACGGTACGAAGTTCAGAAGTAAGGACTGGGCACATGCCCTTTCTGCAGAAATCCACCACACTTTATAGAACTCAAGAGACCCGCTCTTGTACCCACCCGGATCGTGCAGAAATCAGAAACAGCGACTGGACAAAAAAATCAAAAACACCACACTTGACAGAACTCAAGGACACCACTTTTGTACCCACCAAGCCAGACCTCACAGAATCCGAAAAGGAAGACTGGCCATATTGCCCTTCAGTAGAAAACCACCACGCCTCAGAGAACTTCGAGAACACTGCTTTTGCAACAACCGAGTCGGACCGTACGAAGTTCAGAAGTAAGGATTGGGCACATGCCCTTTCTGCAGAGATCCACCACACTTTATAGAACTCAAGAGAGCCACTCTTGTACCCACCCGGATCTAGCAGAAATCAGAAACAGCGACTGGACAAAAAAAACAAAAACACCACACTTGACAGAACTCGAGGACACCACTTTTGTACCCACCAAGTCAGACCTCACAGAATCCGAAAACGAAGACTGGCCATACGCCCCTTCCGCAGAAAACCACCACTCCTGAGAGAACTTCGAGAACACTGCTTTTGCAACAACCGAGTCGGACCGTACGAAGTTCAAAAGTAAGGACTGGGCACATGCCCTTTCTGCAAAAAACCACCACACTTTATAGAACTTAAGAGAGCCGCTCTTGTACCCACCCGGATCGTGCAGAAATCAGAAACAGCCAGTGTTGTCATGCGGGGATCCCCGGGGCCAAAGCCGGGGTGGGGGTTTCACCCCCGCAACCCCGCCGTGGGGATCCCCGACCCCCGGCCCTGTCTCTTATACACATCTAGATGTGTATAAGAGACAGGCCTCCCAAGCAACCGGTACAAACCCTGGACCC